GGTCCAAAGAAGCCAATCATCAACAGCTTACTAAGGGGTTGTCTTGGCAGGCAAATCTCGACGAGATTCAAAGAGACCCACGAGGCAGTTGGCTTCACACCTCCATCAGATCCATCTCCATCATATATCATATATATAAAGTGAAAAGGAGATGAGAAGGGAGCAGACTTACTCACTGTTCTACTACCTTGCTATTTGCAGGTAAAAACGGCCATTTGCCGGATCGTCAAACTATAATCTCACTGTCGAAATTTTCTTCTAGCAATTAGTTGCAGGTTTTTCTATAAAAATAGAAACTCAACCATTCATCATGCAGAGTCCTGGAACCACCGTCGGCACGGTGCTATATGAGACCATGGCTGGAAAGCTGAACCCTAAGCTTCTCCAAGCTCTCAAGGTCTTGGGATTCACCCATATGACGCCCGTTCAGCAACGGGTGCTAACTGAATTGCCAGATTGGCGCAGTGACTGCCTCGTCCAGGCTAAGACTGGTACCGGCAAGACGCTGGCTTTCCTGCTACCTACATTGCACTGTCTTCTTGATCCCTCTATGGCACCGCCTAGAGGGCAGGTCGCCACCTTGATCGTTACCCCTACGCGTGAACTGGCTCAGCAGATTGCCAAGTCATGTGACCAACTGACATCGCAAATGGCAGTACCTCTGAAATGCGACATTGCTGTTGGTGGAACCGCTCGGGCTTCTGCGTTTTCGCGCTTCATGAAGGAGGCTCCCTCTGTTCTTGTAGCAACTCCAGGACGGTTGAAAGATTACCTGTCCGAGCCCGAGGCGGCCATCAAGCTGTCTAACATCCGGACCTTGATTCTGGACGAGGCCGATACGATGCTCGAGAGTGGCTTCCTAGCTGATGTGAAGCACATTATCCGACACATTCCCCCAAAAAGCGCCGGATGGCAGGGAATGTGCTTCTCTGCCACTCTTCCTCCCAAAGTCAGGGACGTGGTCAGTGTGGTGCTCAAGCCAGGCTACAGTAGCATTTCTACTATTGATGAAAACGAAACCCCAACGCATGAGAGAGTCCCCCAGTATCATGTGCTGATGCCGTCTGTGGCAGATTCTTTTACCACTCTTGCCTCCCTTCTTCAGTTGGAAACGAAGACCAGTTCGAAAATCATCGTTTTTGGCGTCACGGCAAACATGGTCAGTCTCTTCGCAGCTGCCTTTTCTCGGGGCTTGACGAAGTTGAGTGTGTTTGAGATTCACTCCCGACTCAGTCAGAGCGCTCGCACCAAGACTACCGCTCAATTCAAGGAAGCGGCTGCCGGAATCCTCTTCGCGTCAGACGTCATTGGCCGTGGCATGGATTTCCCCAACGTCGACTTGGTCATCCAGGTTGGCTTGCCGACCAACGGCGAACAATACGTTCACCGTGTTGGTCGTACAGCCCGTGCTGGCAATGATGGCCGCGCCATCATCCTCCTCACCGAAGCGGAGACCTTCTTCCTGAGAACCAATCGCCACTTGCCCATCCAGCCCCATCCCCAGACCGACGCCATCATCGAGGGAGCTGCCTCGTATGCAGAGACCGTCGCGGAAGCTATGTACACGATTGACGAAGAGAAGAAGCAACGCGCCTACTCATCTTTCATCGGTTTCTTTGCTGGTTCGGGTCTCCTGAAGCAGCTTCGTCTCGACAAGCCGGGTCTTGTTCAGATGGCCAACGAGATGGCTATCCAAGGCATGGCATGCCCTGAACCCCCTGTCATCGACAAGAAGATCGTTGGCAAGATGGGCTTGAAGGGTATTCCCGGATTCAATTATGGACACGGAGGTGACTCGGTTCGCGGCTCGTCTTTTACGCCGCGTGGTCGTCCTGGTGGCAAACGCGATGCCAGTATTGGCGGACCAGGCGATGGCAGTGGGTTTGAGAAGAGGCAGAAGAGTGCCCGCGGCAGGGGCCGTGGACGGCGTGGAGGGGGTCAGAGATCAGTGTGATTGACAGTCACTGGTTACAGTGTTAGCATTCTAGACAGTAGACAATAGACATACCATCGCCCTTACAAATGACTATGACTTTACTTTGAGCAATCTCACAAGCAGGATATCATCCAGACTGTCGGGAACATGCCTAAAGCTACAAGTAATCCTGGAATAAGGTGCATTTCACCATGCAAACTCCCATAAAGAACTCGATTCGTAATTTTCCCTTGGCACATCACAAGCCCATTGTCACGTCACGTTCATCCGCATCGCTTCTTTCTCCTCTTTTTCTCATTGTTCCCCCCATCTCTCTATCAACAAAACGTCATTCCCTTCCTTTTCTTTGTCCTCTGATTCCAGAAGCCACTGCAAACTCTGTTCTCTGCAGCAAAGCGCACAATTACTCTCTTTCGCTATTCGCAAGCCGTGGATGGTACGGCTTGCTCCCACAATCATGGCAGTTGGCCATGAGAAGTTGCGCCTCAATATGAGAACCAGACGTAAATCTCGCTCAGTGAGTTTCAAGGATGTCTTCGTGGTAAATAGGCTAATTATGCCTGATATTGCGGTACAAACCAGAGAGCAGTGCTTCCAGGTCGTACATGCTTAATTGCATATTCTATTTCTATATTAAGCTTTCGCTCAGCCATCTTCATAGATTCTCGCCGGTATCGATATGAAGAATATATATCTATATTGCGGCAATGACCAGAAATGCAGTGTTTCCAAATCATATAAGCTTGACTTCAGATTCCATCTCTCGTCCTGTTAAGCATATCTTATTAACCACTCTCTATCTTGCTACGATTTTCTAAACAGTTTCGGAAACTCTCAAACATTACATTTCACTGATTTATATCTTTCATAGTAACTTTCCAGATTGACGGTATACTCCTCTACGATATACACTGCAAGATGAAATCCAGCGATGCATTTCTCACGACATCGGAAAAAGCAGCTTCAGAATCTTTCAATCATCAATCCCGAAGATCAAAACTGAAGAGAACAATATCTATATAAACAATGAATCAACCACACTAATCTGAAAATCATCATCGCTCACAACGGTCTTCACACCCTGACATCTCCAGCTCCAGCTCCAGCTCTCCTCCAGACAGTATCTAAACAGTTGATCTCGAGAGAATCCCATTCGTCCAACCCAAGATACCACTAACATATAGTTATACCCCACCGCAATCTGCTACCGGTATAATATATATATCCAAAATGTCTGACAGAACCGGCTCCACCAGCACCAACACCAACAATAACAACAAGTCCGGAGGTAGTACCAGCGGCGGAGCTCAGATCACTGAAGCGAAGGCTAGCATCATCACCAGCCCAAGGAACATCAACCAACTGAGTACCTGGGGCCAATCCGCCCGAGACAGACGTCAGGGAGGTAACAAAGGATCTGACAGTAAGGGACCATCTGATTCTCCTTCCAGGTAAAGCTTGTCTGCTGCTATCCTGTCATACCGGATGGCCAAGACTTTACCGACCGACCGACCGACCGACCGAATCCGGTCGGGTTGATGGGAGCTTTTCTTTTTGGTCTGGACCCACATACGAGAGTCTCACCCTGTCTTTTCTTTCTTTCTGTATGATCGCTCCTTTTATCCGTGGGTCTGTCCTTACAAAAGTAGGTTGCAGTGATATTCAGGAGGGTCCCATCGGAGTCTCCACAGGTCGTGGCATCATGGACTTTGATGTTCTTGCTTGCCTTGCCTTACCTTGCTATATATAGTAAGTAAATCCTGTGGATGGGTTCATGGGTACTTAACTTTACTTTGAGTATGTCATTGTGACTATACTATAAGGAAGGGGGTGGCATCATCCGACCGTATACATAGATGCGAAGCAAGCAGTTACGATGAATGAATGAATTTATGAATGGAAATGAAGTCTCCAGTAGTAATGTGAACTACCCGAAAGCAGACATGACACGACATGACATGACATTAGTGTAACATGAAACCACCAGTCCAATCCAGTCACCATGACAGTATTACTAAGTACCTCAGGGGATGGATGAAACAGTGCTGTGCAATAAATCGCTCACTTACTTACATACTACTAGTCAGTTCCGTACTACAATAAGCACCGCCTTGCGAATGCGAACAGTGGGAAAGACTGCAGTGCCCCTGATTCTAAGGCTCTAGCTCCAACCCAGCGATAAATGAACACATTAATTACTATCTATTATACTACTACACTACCCCTGCCCCTGATACTACTAACAAGCTATCAATCCCAGAAATGATCCCCATACCACAAACTAGTATACACCAATGTCCCCACCATAATCAATCACCTGCAGAAAACGATCAAACCCCCATACCCAGAACAAAATCCCTACAGACTATCATCCCAACTATCGATTAAATAATTCCGTCATTGGCTGATATTATTCTCCACTGATTTGATTGACTGACTGATTGACTGATTGACCCGATCGCCGTGGCGTAGATAGACACTTAGTAGCTTTAGTGGCGTGGCGTGGCGTGGCGTGGCAGGGCAGGGCAGGGCAGGGCAGGGCAAGACAGGGCAAGGGCCGTTCTATCCGAACGGGAGACTAAAATCGTTAGCGTCGGGAGGGAGGGAGAAGAATTTCAGGGATTGTGAGTGGTTGCTAGACTAGTTTGTCGCTAGCGTTATCTGTGAGTTGTGTCTGGGCTGTTCTAGAAAATTGAAACCGGTTTGAGTCACTCATTCATTCATTATCTAACTATCTATCTACTTCGTAGTGGATAGTAGGGTAGTGTGTATGATGTGCATGTGATGGCAGGGATTAATTAATCAATTCATTTAATTGATAATTGATTTCTTCAGAACAGGGTTTTCTGCAGAGTACATACAGTAGTATGTACATAGTATAATATGTAGGAAGGATAAATGTTCCGATCGATGTTATATCATTCATTGTGTATAATATTCAAAATTTATATTCGAAAGAGGGAGAGATAATGTAAAGCGTGCATATCCCGCGGGTATTAATTAAGTATTATATCTAAATTATCCATAACAATCATGACATGATGCAAAAAAAACCAATGCTCCCGACTATGCAATCCAATCCATCTAAACACCCATGCTTTGCTTGCTTTGCTTTGCTTTGCTATATTCCGTCCAGCGATTCATTATTGTTGTTGTTGATTATGATGTTTTCGTTCGTAGTGTAATGTTGTGTATAGTGTGGTGTAGTTCAAGCGAAGTGGAAGAACCTATTATTTCATCGTTAGCATCAAATCCCAGAGTCATTGATTTATAGACAGTGGTATGAACATACTTCCTCGAGAATCTAGCCTTCCACTTCTTCTCAGACTTGTTGCTGCTGGCACAAGAATCCAAATGCTCTTGGGAGGCGTTGGTAGACTGGACTTCCTTGGCGAAAGCAGCATCAATGACGTTGCTGTCAACGCTGCGAGGGGTGCTGCAGGCACTGCGGTTGCGACGAGCCTGCTTGGAGCCAAGGCCGTAGGATTCAGGGCCGATCAAGGGATAAGGGATAGTCATTTTGATGGTGGTGGTTGTTGAAGAATGTGGGATAGATAGATTTGTGTGGAGAGGTTTTGGAATGCGATGATGAAAAGAGTAGTAGAAGAAGCTTGCTTTGCTTTGCTTTGCTTTGCTTTGCTTTGCTTTGTTGGATGGATGGATAGTAATTCCAAGTCGCAATTGACGGTACCAGAAGGGAGTTTATATAACTTTTTTCTTCCCTTTGCGAGTAGTACGTACTCTATGACTCCTTGTTCCTGACTTGCGTTATTTTCCCAATTTTCTTTTTCTTTTTCTTTTTTTTTCTTGCTGATCATGCGAACAGTAAACCCGACCCCCCCCCCCATTCCAAAAATAATTTCGACCGTCCGAACGGCACTTTGGATCCGAACGGGCGATTGCAAGGACTAGAACGTGGCTAGCTTGCTCTGCTTTGGGTTTAGTCATGGCGAAAAACGGGAAAGCTACTACTATAGCTAACAAGCAACGCCACCCTTATCAAATCACGCATAGAAGAACAAGGTCTGCTTCAAGTCTAGAAGGAAAAACTTTTCTTTTCCTTTACCCAACACTTTGACCTACACCCAACCACCACCACCACCACCAATATCTTCATGATAGTAGTAGTATCTACTCGGTTAAATCGGCGCGTTGGGTTGATAGATTTTCGCCATTGCAATTATCAATATTACATTATTTTCTTCATAGAATAGTCTCGATCACCAGAACAATCTACTACCAAAGTTGTACGTAACTCAACCCCCAATCCAATCAATCCCCCTCCCTTGAGGAATGCGAATTGCGAGTTGTTGTTGCAACTTGCAACTTGCAACACGGGATCCCGACCGGGAGGGGGAGAAAAAAAAAAAAAAGGTGTGGCGGCAATCGGGTTCACCCAACTACTTACCCCCATTATTCTCGCTTCCCGTCTAGCTGTGTTGTGTATGTACCATGGCAGCTGAAGGGGACAGAACTTTCCGTGCTCAAACTCTAATGTTTAATTCTCCGATTCTTTTTCTGGCTTGCCAGGTCTAGATGTGACACACACACCGTAACTAGATACTTCCCACAATATGACTATACCATCATACACATTACACCGCCCTTAACAATATTGCAAATGCGATCGTCATTCCACACCACCAAAGTACACGTACGTATATTAGCAAAATCGGTCAGAGGCTCCTCATTCCATATTCCATATTCCTTTCTTCATGATGACGAGGCCTATGATGAAGATGATATCCGCCAAGGTACATACATCCCTTATAGACCAAACCACAATAGAAAACAAAAAATGTATACTAGTAACTAGTACTTACGTACTTGATTTACTGGTAGCGAGCAATGCTTAGTCCCTTCCCTTCTCTTTGCTTTTTGCCGATCAAATTAAGAAAGTATGGTCCAGGACGGACCAAGACCGACCACAAGAACCAAGCATGAAGAAGAATGGTAGTCTAGGGTAGGCTTGGTCGACCTGATAATCCGGATAACGGAACGGAACGTAAAATCATCATCAATCAATAATAATAATAATAATCATAATAAGAATACCTAATCCATGAATCACCCGCTGATTAGATGGAACCATACAATCAACACACACACCTTCTATACTTCCTACATGAAACTCAAAAAGTCCGCGGCAAATCGGCACCGGCACGGCACCAACCACGCCAAGCTAAAAAAATGTTTCCCTGTCACGGGGATATTTCCGCCGCCCGGACCTCCTCTTAGTTTAGTTTGATTTCTTGCCAGTTGCAAACTTGCAACAGGTTGCTACATGCTACATGCTGCTACACCCCTCAATTCCTCATGTTCTGGGCATTCCTGTGTAACCAATCAATCGTCAATGGCATGCGACCGTTTTCTTTCACTTGGAATTGTTTTAAGGGGTGATCATCTCATGTGGGATGGGATATAGATCAATTGATGACGACTACTGATCTTCAAACATAATTAATTGTCGTATGAATGATGTTGCTCTAACTATCTACGCGCCGCCCCGATCAGGCGATGTGGATTGGTGGTGTGTGGTGGTGGTGGTGTTGGTGTGATGAATGCTTAGCAGATGAGCTGAGCTGCCTCAGTCTCACCCCTGTTGATCACGCTCTCGCCCTGATTTTTCTTCTTCCTCTTCCTTCGATCGCTCTCGCCTCGTCCCACCGGACGCTAGTATCACTACCAAGTTTCCGACACTGGCTATCTATCTAGTTAGTCTAGCTGGCTGGCCCGCCCGCCCGACCGACCGACCGACCGGCGACACCTGACTGACTACTACTAGTCTAGTTATCTACTGACTGCCCAACCGAATTAACTAAACAGCTCTAGATGGTTCGATTCCATCTCCTCCCTCACGGTCGCATCACTTCTACACACTAGACTAGAGGACTGTGTGTTACTACCGGGAGGCAATATCTTCGAAAAACATCGCATCCAATAATTACTGAGGGATTTTTGATTATCAGTTTCAAAGACGCCGACGAATACCGTCGCTTGGATAAACCCGTGCCGGTCGGTATCAAAGCCATTCGGAATTTCCGTGTTGTTTCATTCTGTTGGCTAAGAAGCACGCCATAATCAATCAATACCCAAAGTCCATTCTGTGGGCTGGAACAAAGCAAATCATAGCAGCAGGTTCGGACTTTCAGATTCTCAACACCGTGTACTGAACATGGCATTTGTCAAGATCCGATTTCTCAATGATCTCGACCGTGCTCCGGCCGCTTTTGTTAATCTTCCCCGTCCAGACTGCAGTGAAGCTCTCCTTCGCTTGCAAGATCAGCTTGTGCAAACTGTTCTCCGTATCCTTCTTGTTTCCTCCGACCACTAGATCATATTCATGGTATTCCGTCTCGTCGCCGAGGACGCTACTGGACAAGGTGCCCTCAGCTTTGCGGTTCGGAGTCACATAGAGATGTCCGTCCGAGTCTTTATCCGTGTCTGTATCCTCCACCAGTTCGAATTCATTCGTAGAGAACAGACAGACGTCGTCGCTGCCGCTGGTCACAATGATTCGTGCGTTAGGGATGCTGATTTCATCGGCTGTGGTGTTTTCGCCCTTGATGGTGATGCCCGTCACTTTGCCGGATTCATAGGTGACGCTGGGGATGGTATAGTCAAGTTTCGGCGGAGGCGCCTTTTCAAATCCGCCAACTAGGTCTTTCGCCACATGGTCGATGAACTCCTGCACCGGGTCGGGAGGTGGTGAGCCCCCGAACAAGTTCACAAACAGGTTGATCAGCATCATCACAACGCCAAGAACCGCGAGCACAGCCCCGAGTATGGGCAAAGCTGTGGCAAACACCCCTGTGACTGTATAGAGTCCAATGGATGAGCCCACCTCCACAATATCCAAAACCACGGTGAGTGTTTGCGAAAGCAGTGCGATCATGTTGATGATCTTTCCTCCCGTTGTCAATTTATCCCAGTCCTGGACCAAACTGCTTCTTGTTAGTGGATACCAAGTAAGTAACCTGCGGAGTGGAGTGACTGAACCGACCTGAAGGTCATTGCGATAACTAATCCAATGCCCAAGAAAGCATTGAGGATCTTGACAGCATTTCCAGATACATTCCACTTAGACACCACATCCTCCCCACCAGCTGGAATATTCTCTGGCGGTTTATCGGCGCCTTCGTTCCAACGTCCTGCATTGTCGCCTTCGGTAGCTGGGCCCTCTGGGAGCACGTGGTCGCCAACAATCTCGTTGAATGTGCCTTCGCCATTAATCTCGTCGGACATCTCAGCGAGCCCACCTCCACTTTCAGAAACTGACTTCTCAACCCCCTGGTTTAGAGTGGCGGTATCTAAGGCGTCCTCTGGAGTTGTGGCAGTATCTCTGTTTTTGTAATTATTCCAGGCATCACGAGCCTGACTGATGCCATTCACAACGGTCTGTATCATCTCCAATATGACCACAGCTTTCTTAGCGTCTTCCATGGTGTCCCAACCTGTGATCAGCCCATAGAGACTCGACGCAAGTTGGAATATGTAATACGCGACCTAGTGAACTTCGATTAGCTCTACCGGTCCGGTCCGATCGCGAAGAGTCACAATGACATACCATTCCTATAGTAGCAATTGGCTTCAGCTTCTTAAGCCCTGGCAGGCTGTCACCGATAGCTTTTGTCACCTGCTCAAAGCTAGCTTCCGCCAATTGAAACAACCTCGTTCCTTGCAAAGCAACCGCAAGGCCTTTGCCTATGGCGGTCAGCCACATCTTCGCTTCTGCAAAGAACACCGCTCCCTTCTCCACGATATTGCTGGCCCTGGCCTCAGCTAATGCAGTTTGATCAAGTCCATTCGCCTTTTCAAACTCTTCTATGTCTTTTTCCAACCCCTTGCGCACATCCTCATCGACGGAAGGATCTCCCTCAAGGACACGTTGAATGAGATCCTTCATCGAATCATGTAACCATTGACCAGCCAGGTCCTCGTCTGGATCAATGTATGGATAATGAATATGGCGCTCACTGGCGAAGCCAACGAAGTATTCGAACCACTGATCAGCTATTCCCTCCGATGGTGCCAATGCGTCAAGGATACAGCACTCGCGGTTGATCACATTTACGCTCTGATAGAAACATCGCATCAATAGAAAGCCACAGTATAAGCGCAACGCTTTTACTTACGCCCTGGATAGGATGTGCTAGATACGTCAACATTCGCCCCTTATCCTTCAAAGCGGCGTAAAGAGTGCAGGCCCACTCCGTCGGGTTATCGTCGAGATATTTATCGAGTATGTCTTTATTAAATTGTCGAACAGCTTCAACAGAAGCCCGGCGGTTGATTTCTGCATATTCCTTGGACTTTGCAAGACACTTATCACCCTACAAGAGATAATGAAAGCGCATTAGAATTCTCTCATTCATCAGAGATTTGTTATGTCGCATAATACTCACATTTCCGTCCCACCAATACCGCATATTCTTCTTCTCCTGCTCTGTGAACTTGTCTTCATACTTGTCATAACGCATCACCGACTGACATAGAAACGCCGGGGCGTACTTCTCTCGAAAGAATTTCCGCAAGTCTGACGGGAGATTTTCCGCCAAACTCGAATCTAAGTTTGTGGGCTTGGCCTGGCCTGTCAAATCTTCGCGCTGATTGTCATCCATGTGGTAGAACATCATCGATTTGATGAATACTTGGGTCATGTTATGGATCCGTGCCGCGATACTTGGTCAGCTATGGAAACCCGGTCGTCCTATTGGTCATATTTAACTTACTGCAACCTCATCATAGCCATACGGATTGAGAAGTTCATCAACAGTAGGCTCTTGCAACAGATGCAACTGTTCGGTCACATCTGCTGGGTGTAAGGCCGACGTGACCGATGTCGGCGCAGTCAAGTTCGCACAATCCGCAAACGCTCTAGATGTCTTCAATCGCATATCATAGATCTCGGAATCATCAATGTCGGAAGTCCCACAGATGTAATGCCTGCATATGTTAGCACATGAAGCAAGACATATGGCACAGGTAGCTACCAACCTATCTCCTTTTGTGTCACGCATCAGAGGGTTATAGTCGAAGATGGCGCCCTTGACAGTGCGGAGGTCCACATCATAGTCAATATAAAATGACTGGAAAAGAATCGGAAGAGTGATATCGATCCCCAACTGGGACTTGAAATTCACATTCAGAGTGTTGACGTCCATTCCAGCATCGGAGATGAAAGGCACGACGCTTGCAAGGTTGAATTCCACGGTTGCTCTGGTCCTGCCGTCATCCAGTATTACCTCCCAGCTATCATAAAGCCTCTCAAACTCTCGATTGTATTTTTCGTTAAGTCGATCTCTGAGCTCGTCAAGAATGGGTACTCTCGTTTCTGTGGTCTGGGATCCATCAGGTGGGTACAGAAAACCCCATTGCACGTCCATACCGGACATAGGATCCTTCGGTTCATCTATTGGTTCATCCGGTGCCCAAGTGCTCTTGTCGTATTGCATTGAGACTGTTATAACGGGTATGTATTCCCCTTCATCGTCGCTTTCAGGTTCGCCCGCTTGCCGCTTGGCGTGAAGCAGCTGGATGTTTTTTGCTACGCTTTTGGGCAATGCCTCAAATGCTTGGACGTCCTTCTTTGAGCAATCTTCTGGTGCATCTGTGGGAGAAATGAGTACCACACCCTTACCCGACAGCCCGTGAGAGTAAAGTGATAGAACCCCATGTTCAAACATATTTTCTTGAACTCTGCGTGTCCATTGAAACGTTCTCCTATGGTGGTTCACCTTGCATCTCATCTGAGGCACGTCATTTATAAGAATACAGTCATCTATGACGCTCAAGTCGGGCAGCGTGTATGCCGAAGGCAAGTTGGAGTCGCCTATTGCTAACAGCGAAAATCTCCTTTGTATCCTGTCCAGAGGCACACCATTGGGTAGTTGTCGAGGGTTGTATTTCATCGCTTTTAGCTGGTCACTTGGAGAGACCAGGGCCGGGAAGATTTCGGACCGTGAAATTAGGCCTTCCTCTCTTTTCCCATAACTTCCAAAGAGTTCGAGATTCAGTCGCTCATGGATAGCTTGAATGTCGTTCTTCGTGAACGTCGAACTGAGCTCGTGAAATGATGCAAGAAGTGAAATCCGCTTCTTCGGTGGAAGGGCACGAAGGGCACGGGCCGCGGCTTCCACAGCTCTCTAATGAATCAATTATAAGGACGAATCAAAGATGGTAACAAAATCCGGTTGAACTTACGTTGGGATCATTGATGGCAAGAAGGTAACCGTTTGCGTGATGCGATTGCTCGCCTGCCCACAGTGACACGCTGTATACGTTTTGCTCTGTTTTGGGGCCCACTTCTATGGAACTTATTTCCACTGCCTCGTACTTAAAGTCATCGGGGTTGCCAGCCAGGCGATAAATAACGTGTCCCCTTCTCAGCGGTCCAATATGGGCATGTGGACAACTCGCTTTGGCGGAACCTGGGTCTACCGCTCGAAGTCCAGTAGTAGTGTAGAACACCTGCGATGGTGTTGTAAAGGGCTTTTCACCGTCTGTCAATCCATCAGTTAACTTAATACTTCCGTAATTGTCCATATATGTGGAGCTTACTGAAGCCGACCGAGCACACTTTCAGAGACTTTGACGCCACGGTGCCATACCCCTCGTGGCTATATCGCGGCGGCTTCGTGGACACAAGGAACCGGTTGTTGTTAGCAACGGCCTCTATCTGCTTTGATTCACTTCGAGAAAGATTCAGGTTCGTTCCAGATAAGAGACTAGATTGTAATTCCACCGGTATAAGCGGAGATAGATTCCTAGAATTCGAGTCTGTAGCTATATCATTAAAGTTAGCTCTGACCTCATTCCATAATGTCCACATAAAAGTAGGCCGGGATGGGCGAGCCTAACCCTTGTTGACCCAGTCTGTTAAAGCGCCAGTATTACGTTCTCTCCACGCGTTGCGTACACCATCACGCCAATTCTCGGACATGTTGTGGTAGAAGGTCGTGTAAAGCTTCTCGGAGTAGCTTACGAATTCGTTGATGATGGCGGCTTCGTCAATCAACCTCTTCAGACTTGCTTGGATGCTGTCGAGATACGGGCGAAGTTCTGGAAACGAATCTGTATCAATCGCAGCCATTACTGCCTTGTAGAAGAAGTTCAGTGCATCGAAAGTCGACAGCGAGCCTAGCACAGAACAATATGCCATTGTCGCGGCTATACCACAGTTCTTCACAATGTTATCTGTCTCCACTTCATCGCGCCGTTCCTGCTCATTCCATGTCACAAGAGACCAGGCATGGAGTGCTTTAAAGCTTGGTCTGTCTTTTGAGAGCAGTTTGAATATGTCAAGCCATGCAGTTTTGTAATACAGATAGTCCGCGACCAGAAGGATCGAAATACTAAACAGATGATCTGACCTTGTGGGATCAGTCAAGGCAAGATTGATGATGAAAGATTTGGTTTGTATTCTGTTGATGAAGTAATCTGCGAAGCCGGTAGTGTTTGTTAGCTCCATGAGGCTGGGATGGTCATTGCTTTTGAATTTAGTGTTGAGATGTTCGGCAAGACACATCGACATGAGGCCTCGGAGTACCCCTGGGGTAAAGATAGGATAGATGAGGAACTGAGATCAATGGGCTCCATGTTAGCTACTGCTGAAGCATCTCGCAGCCATAATGAAGTAATAGTCTGACCGGTGCAAGTTGCGCTGCCATAGCCACCTGCCAATAGCCATCATCATCAATACTCATGAATTCGGTAGCAAGGAACCAGTTCCCCAGCCTGCTGAAGTCATTTCCTGTGTCCATGCCATCAAGCTCCTGGTTGTGACTTTCATCACCAGCAGGATATGGTTGGTCAGTGCCAATGTACTTCCTTAGACTCTTGAAGTCACTATTCCAGCGAGCTCGGAAATGAATTCGGCGGACAAATCCATCAAACGAGATAGCAGGGAGTGTCTTCAAATCCGCCAGAAGGTCCTCCCAGATAGCATCGAAGTCGACGGGCATGATCACTGAGTATCCTATGATTTGGTCCGAAGCAGGACTAATGCATGTGTGAGTAGGACTGAAGTCGAAGTCAAGTAGAATTGAAAGACAGAGTAGCAAACCATCAATCTGACTCAACGCGCCATGAGAGGTAATGCGATGAGAACATCTTTCTGATCTCATGCTACTTGAAGTAGCATTATCTTCACATTACCTTAGAATGTAATACTTAAGCTTGACATCACCCACATGATCCACAACCTCTCAGGATTTGCTGGAACAAGTCCAAATGAGCGCGTATGTGGTGGTTGTTTTTCACAGATCAAAGCAACCAGTTGACCAAGTTTCCATGGAAGGTGGCTGACTAACGAAGTCGCGAACCTGTAATTCAACGATCCAAGCCAATTCTAGTCGCATCAATCGTACGATGCATGTCTGATTTATCCAATTACTCTATATTCACATGTTATGAAAATATGGGGTGTTTCTGATTTCATGGTTCAATAAGCAATTGAGGCAACAGGATATCATCAATAGGCACTATGCTTCTAAGCAATCAAGCTACTACAAGACCACCCCACACTAGTATGTTGTCATAGCCGATCAAGCTTCATCAGTATCCTCTTCCGCATGTGCAAAACTTTGCTCTTTCGTCAAAACCAAGTTGCGGGTGCAGAGAGAAAATGCAACCAGCGGCACGGTCAAGCAAATGCCGGTAATGCACAACAGCCTCTGCGTATGCTTGTAAGCAGCTACCACGGCATCACGGTTCGGGGTCCCAATTGGGTAAGTAGCACTGAATGTGAACGGATCCTTATACGCTTGAGCTGCCATTGTGGCGTTGCCGAGTCTACTGTTTAGCTCTCCGGGGAGAACTTGGGTCCAGACGGCTCCAGAAATGCTACCTCCGATTGCGGTGCCGATATTGTAGCAGGCTAGAAATAATCCGGTGACGACGGCCAAGTCTTGCTATTGTTAGTATTAGTCTCAGAGAAGATATAGGAAACTCACGCTCATGCTTGGTGGCAGCTTGGATGCTGGCTTGCGCAGGGTAGGGAAACAATCCTCCAGCTAAACATACTGGTCAGTCTGATTCAACTTTCAATTGGTGTATCTGGACTTACCAATCCCCAAAAGGATCTGGGCGCCAATTATTCCCGAATGACTGGACGATGTGGGCCCTCCGCGGTAGTAGATCAGGATACCATAGGCCACCATGAACAACAGCGTACCTCCAACGATGAATGGCTTGAGTCGCCTGACCTTGTAGACTACAAGGCCTAGAATGGATCCAGTGAGAACACTGGCAAAGCTGTGAAGGATGAGTTTGACGTCTATGCAGATCAGATCTCCACCAGCTTACCTATAAAGGGACCTTATCCTCGTTGCGCTTGTAATACTCTCACCAAAGCTAACAATGAGAACGGTGTATAGATATTCACTTTGAAGAGCCCATGCTGCACCTCGTTAGACGGAGTACTGGAAGTATATGCTCCTGCTTACCGGTATTCAACATGACAGCAATTCCCAAGGCACCCCAGACCGCTCTATCCTTTAGAAGCTACAGACCCGTTAGTATCAGAAACTCCCAGACCATATACTGGCTGCCTACCTTAAATGGAACCATAGGATGCTTGCAAGTTCTCTCCCAAATAACCCATGCCGGAATACAACACAGCCCCAGAACGAGAGGAACGATGATCCTTGCTTTCTTCCACTGAGAATCCAGGCCGCCGGCTATCGTGAGAGGTACCAAAATCATGGCAAGAAAAGCGATCATCAGGATAATACCAATCACGTCCAGTTGCCAAAACAACTCAATCACCAGGCGCCGAACACCCAACGTGCGAAAGGCGCCTGCGATATGATCCACTGTACCATCCTTCTTGGCTCTGTGGTACACAATGTAAAGAACCATGAGGAGAGGGAGCGTGCAGACTAGAATCTGTCAGTAATTGACTGACTCGTGCGAGGATATACTCACTGGGATAGATTATCGCAAACATGCCGATTCCCCAGCGCCATGTGGTCACTTTCAGCACAGCCCCAGTTATGTTTCCACTAATCCAAGTGTTGATCTACCGACATCAGCTAAGATCAAGCACTTCATCTTCTTTCGAATCTCTCATCTTACCAAAAACGGAAGTGTTGGAATATATGAAAACAGCAGACGAGAGCGAAGCGACGTGACATCCGCAACCAAAACCTCAACGAGCAGAATAATAGCCGTGTATCCAATCTATTGTATATCACAATGTTAGTCGAAACGTAGTAGCATCTCAACTGATTACTCAAGTGGGACTCGACTCACCTGGTAAAGCACAGCGCCCGCAGCAAATTGCTCGACCGTACTCGAAGACGCCTCAACAATGGTGCCTACTGAGTGTTAGCACACACCGACACAGGATGAATTGCACTCAGTACCAAGGGTATAGAAGAATATTGAGACCAAAATCAACTCCACTCTCCCAAAAACATCGGCGATCTTAGCTGCAGTCGGCTGCGTAATAAATCATATTAGTTGCTGAATTGGAGAAACAAAGACTACAAACCTGTGCTGCTGCTGCAATGACCGCTCTGAGGATATCGACACTCGATAACACACTATGTGATTCATATGATGCCGTAGCGTATGGCTAGAGATCGTAAGCTTTGATGGTTCAATAAACATGCGGACGAAAGCCAACCTGATAAGTCCCCCGCAATAGGCTATCGAGGCCGTAGACATATGCAATGAGGAAAATGCCACAGAATAGAAACACACGGTCGAGGATATGTAGGTGAGATGAAAGAGCCTCGATCCGCTGGACACCAGGACTTCCAAGTCCTGGTGTTACGCCAGGACCTTGCGCGTCATGAGCCGAAATGGGAGTCTCGGCGGCATGAGAGCTCTCCTTGTTATTAGACATTGTATCTCTGGCCTGATTATTCTGTCAGGTATCCGGAGGGAGCTTTGCCAATGATAGCAGAGAAGTAGTGTGAAAGCGAGGGGTATTTGAGGGGATAAAAGAGTGTCGGACGGTGGTAGGAACGTCAGCGGCCATCATCCCAACATCAGCTAACACCTATGTGACGGGAATAAAATCCCTCTTTCATCCATTTAATGCACAACTTACTTTCTATCTTATCTGATGAAAGAAGTTGAAGTCTGGAAAGACCCCACTTCAATCTGATAATTATGCTCCATTGCTGTAGCTATTCACATAAACAGGAGTTTCCTCATATTTCTTTTCGAATCACCGATCGGCGAGAGCAAGATTTGCTTTGTCCATATCTCGTTAGTGTTGCAGCTGTAATATCAATAATATCACGATGAGCAGCTCTCGCCAACTTGACGCAAATCCGAGTGCTACTTTCGTCATGCGCATATGCTCAAGTTATATCACCACATGGCGCGCCATTTCTTGATGAGGCCATTTGACAGATATCTGCGCCTGGCTAGCGTCATGCTGAGCAGTTGATTAGTATGGAATCATCAATATGACATACTCACTTCATGTATTCTGCGACCTTGGGCAAGTATCATTTGTCGCTGACGATACCAATCATTCCAGCATTCATGTCAGCCAAGCTACCCGACCGAGTGACATCGCTTCAATCACTCCTCGGAAATGACAACCGGTTCTTTCTAAGATTTCCAGTCTTGTGGTACGTATGATGGCTTGCCGATCGCGTTTTCGGATCACCATTCTTGTGCATGGCATGACAAGTGTCAACGAGTCCCTCTTGTATCCTGGCTCTTGTGCTAAGGGTGTGGAATGTTACACAGGCCAGCGTCTTAGTATGCTAGGCATCAATAACGTCCAACAGGAGTTAGTTGAAATGTTGAAGTGAACCAGATAAGACAGTGATGTGTATCTCGCATTCGGGGGCGAAACACTAGTTATCAATTCGAACGTAGCTTAACGATAAAACTTATTCCTTCAACAGACGCGACTACTAAACTGCGCTGTAGATAAGAAACAATGACGGATAAGATAGGAGGGCGGGTAAAAAAGGATGGGTCCGAATCATACTCTAGTGAGAGTCAGAAAAAAGGAAAACAAAAAAAGAGATCACATTGCATCATCCGTGAATCGAACACGGGCCTCATCGATGGCAACGATGAATTCTACCACTAGACCAATGATGCTACTTGGTTGAAAAAAGCTTTAATATTTTGAATCATAACCTAGCAGATTGTGAGGTAAGCAACTTCCAACAACGATCGTCATCCGCTACACACCATATCATGGCACAACCTTGACCATCTGACCTGACGTGTACGATATAGATTGTATTAGGTTCTACGGTACCTAGATCATCAGGTCACCCTTCTAAGCTGACATTGCGCCAGGGATGTAGATACCTACTACTAACAATAGACTTTTTGTGATCATCGTTTCCAGCGGAAAGGTTGGTAACATGTTTTATTGCCAGGGGTGGTTGCACAAGTGTTACACAATCATCATTTTCGATTATCCAAGTTATGCAAGTCAAAGCCCAGTTGGGAAAATGTCATGCGTGTTGCTAAATACAGGGATCATTATAGGGAACAGGGAAAAAAAAAATAATGAAACTGCGGCGCTCTAGACACAGTGAGGTGAGTAGGACAAGAAGCGGTTATGGCACTCTCCAACGCCGCAGAGCATGTTCGAGCACCGTTCGTCAAGCGCGTTTACCACCAGTAACCGGCTCGTGCTTGAAATAGGATCTTTATCCCTGCTAATTCATATAATTTGCGGAAAGCCTCCCGATAGCCTGATGAAGCCTGACCCCAATGACCAAGTTATGCCAAGAGGAACCTTGATAGTCGGACATCTCGCCGAACCTTAACCAACTATCCTTGTTTCCAGAGGCGACAGCAAGAGGTTAACACTATTTTTTGCCAGCACAGAAAATGCACAATGCCCTGTAAGTGATAGGCAATTCCTAGCCGAAGAGTGGAATGTGCCAGTGGACACCCATGATTTTCCCGATGCGGCTGCTCGCATTAGCTTCTCCTGCGTATCTCAAGGGTGATGGGCCCCTGGTATCATGGT